AAAATGGCATTGCCAGCAGTGATATGATTTATTTTTGAAATGGTAAGCTTTTTGAAGTATAATCTTATTTTAACCTAAAATCTTACTATTGAAAAATGCAGTGTACATTAAAATGTTCTGAAATGTTTTTATTCACATTTATTAAATAGTCATACTCACTCAGATATCTACAAATTGGTTTTTCACTTATGTAATTGTCTTATAGAATATTCAAAAGTCATGCAGAATGTGAGATAATTTTCTGTTGAATATGATTGTTTTATCATTGCAAGACATCAAACATCCCTGTTTCCTGCCAAATAAATGTACAATAGCAATAAATATAAAGGTGTGTTTTTTTTAAAAGACACATTTTTGAGTTACAAAACAAGGATTTTAAAACTTGAATTGTTACAGTGAATATGTCTTAATATAGGCTATGGTCACTTTAGATAAAAAAATACCTCACATCTATTCTTTTCAGTATCACTTAAAGGTGTTCTTTTAGTGGCAAAGATTTTATTTTTCTGCCTAGAGGCAGATATTTTGCCATATGGCTATTTATGGTATGAAACTGTATTTAAATGTATGTACACATATAAAAGCTGCCACTATGGCTATATAAACTATTAAAAGTTATCAAGAATAAAAAAATAAACAAATAAAAATATTTCTGTTTTCCTATGAAATGTCTTTACTCCAGTCCAAATTTAGAGGTTTAAAATGCTTGAAATTAATAAAACCAAGTGTTTCACATATTTAAGTTTAAATGGCCTTTGTCCTAGTTTTATTAGTGAAGCAGGAGACTCCATTTTTTTCACTCTTCTATACCTTCAAAAGGTGGACAGAAAAATTTGATAAAACTTCTAGGGCATTATCTGATGAAACACATTAAACACTAAAGGAGAAATACAACCTCATTGTTTATAACAGACATATAAGAAGGAAACCTGCATACATGTATCTATCAGTTTTGTATTTTCAAGAAATATTTGCCTTAAAGTGAGCTTCATTAGAATACATGTTCTCCTACAAAGCCAAGGAAAACAGGTTAGACACAAGGATCTGGAAGTCTATGTGTGTGACATAATTTCATTCAACACATTCCACAAATAAGGCAGAAATGTATCATTGTGACCCAAGATAGTCTCTAAATTTTCTCAAAGCAATGTGGCCACATCTATTATCTTTTACTATGACTAGTTTTCATGCATTTCAACATCACCTCACCCATTCTCAGCCTCCTATCTCTGAGATTAATTATGGCTAACATTCTCAGCAGTCCAAACATCTTGCAAGTGACAGCTTGAAAAGGCCTACCAGAATGATGTTCACTCTGCCACCTGACTAGCTTGTCTTCCATTTAGACATTGCAGTATTTATAAGAGCGCTTTTAGTATTGTAAATTTCATCCAATATGTGTTCAATGAGATGAACTTAAATATTGCACTACATGTTAATTGGGAGAATGTTAATTTGCTTCTGTAGTTTTAAGTGTATTCTCAGAGGTAGATGAAGACATATCATTGGATTCAAGAAATAAAGCAAATAGAAGAAAAAGTATGTTATTTTAGTTTGGTCATGTTTATGTCTTAAGTTTTCTTTTTCAGATATATGAGAACCTATTAAATAAACTGAAAAAAATGTGGTAGCCTTGGGTTAAATATCATACTTTATGTTTTGTTTCTTAATTCCAGGGTAGAGTAGAAAAATATGCTCTCTTATATAACACAAAAATGATATGGGGGAAGAAGGAAAAAATTAACTTGGAGACATCATTAATTAATTTATTTTATAAATGAAATACTAGTTTCTATTTGTTTTGACAAATAGAGAATACATTTAGAATCAATGCTTTATTTCATGGAAAGTGGAGTGAAAATTTTTAATATATTATTCAGTTTGTATTATTACTATGCACTGCAGATCACATACATTTGTCTTTTCTTCATATTAGACATTAAGTAATGGCAAGTATCCTTTCGAGGGCAATTTAATATAAGTAGTAAAGTATCCGGAATTTCTGAAATAATAAAAGTGACCTAAATCACTGTGTTTGGGAGGGGAATGCTCACATTCTCATTATTCCCAAACGGACTCTTAGAAGTCTTCTCACTGGGCACATGGATGCACCTCAGTAATACCCAATGTCTTAGATAGCCACAACTGTCTGCACTTTTTAATGGGATACATGTCAACATTATAATTCCTTGCCACCTCAATATCAGATATTTTCTCATGTAATCTTTTACTTCTGAGGAGCTGAATTCTTAATCCGTAAACTGAATACATATCTGTGGATGTTTTTAAATTATGTGAAAATTTTGTAGATGCATTTTTCAGAGGAAAGTATCGAAACATCCACCTAGTGATTGTAACAAAAACAATCGCTCGTGTTGATATTTAAGTCTTAATTAATTCAGAAAAATTTGCACACGCCTTAAGGTCAGATATTATTTTGTACTCTACATAAAAAAACTCCTTTTTTTTTTTTTTTGGAGATGGAGTCTTACTCTGTTGCCCAGGTTGGAGGAACTCCACCTCCCATGACATTAATGATCACTGATCACAGATCACCGTAACAAATATAATAATAAGGGAATATTTTTAAAATTGTGATGATTACCAAAATGTGAAACCAAGACACAAAGTGAGCACAGGCTGTTTGCTAAATCATACCAATATACTTGTTTCACCAGTGTTGTCACAAACATTTCATTTGTAAATAAGAGGAAAAAAGGCCATATCTGTAAAGCACAATAAAGAGAAGTGAAATACAATAAGATATGTTTGTATTAATTTGGTTAACTTTATTCCAACTTAATGTAAATTAGTTTTAAATCAGTTTATAAAACTCTAAAATGAACCTGGCAAATTTAGAGCAATAATAAAATGATTTAAAGTAGAAAAGTCTTTTTTAAAAAGGATAAATAACAAATGTCTCATTGGAATTATTAAAGCTGTTTCAAGGTCAGCTCTGGAGTTCTTAGAAACTAAAGTAAAAAAATATGACCAGTTTCTGAAGTCAAGATAAAATCATACAATCTTTAACGTAGAAAATTGTCTTTTGTGTTGTGTCCTAAGCATAAAACAAGTGCAAGGACTTGCCCTGACACTCTGTAAGTCGTTCCACTCCAATATGCACTGCAGAAATGTTTCCTGGCCAGAACAGCAAGTCAGAAGCCTTTTCAGCATGGTAAGGAGGGAGAGAGACTATGCTATGTATAAAAAAAATAAGATGAGGAGGAACAATAGAGCCTTAGATAAGTGAGAAGTCTCAAAAGAGACACGTATAAGGGGAGCAGTTGCAACTATAAGGAGCAACATATGGAATGATGAAAAAAGATGCTTTAAAGAAAGTTTTCCTCAGTACTTTGCAATGCTCTCGCCACCTTCTGAAGAAAGCTGGCTCCTCCTGTACCCTTAGGGTATTTGGACCCAGGCTTTGGAATGGGGTGACCATCTACATCAAACTACCTTAAACTCAAATTTGTGTGCATAGGATAAGAATAATTGGGTTAAACAAAATTCACTTTTAATCTAAACTGTCATTCGTTAGTTTGACCAACTTTCTTTACCACTGGCCACTTGATCCTTGTCTTATTTGACCAGGGTTTGTCAAACAAGGTTTGTTGTTTCCTTCTTTGAAGGAAAGAGTCAGTGTTTCTTCCATTCCAATGCATCCACTTGAGGAATTTTTAATAAAATGGGCAATGAATGGGCAGTAGAAGAAGTTACAGGCCTGCTAATAAAACACTAAGTAATAAACTGTGGAAATTCTAAAATCATTTCCATGAAGACCTTGCTTATTTTGTAACTATTATGTATTACCATACGTATACTTAACTCTTTGAATGTGTTAGTATGTGTTCAAAGTATAACTTAATTTTATATATATATTTAAATTACATAAAATAAATAAAGCCACTAAAACATTTTTAAACATTTTCTTATATTTCCTTTCAGTATTTTTATATGCATGCATCTGTACACGATAATATTGCTGAATACATGTTTGTGTTGACAAAGCCTCTCCTCTTGCCAAAATTCTTGTCATGATCCTCTAAGGCCCCTCTAGGTCTCAGCCTTCAGCGTTCTTCCTAGTCTGGCCCACATCTCTCAGGTTTAGGAAGAAACTTGCAGAGAATCCCACACTCCCAATACTGATAACCTTTGATATCTGATCCAATTTGTTATCTCCCACCACTCTCCAGATGATTTCTGATCAGCTTGGCCTGTCTTCAGTAAGAATCCTGTTAGGTCTGTTTAACCTAAATCCCCTTTACCCCTAAAGTTTCCTCTTAGTATCCCCTGTTGAACAAATTTTCAAACATTAAAAAAACTTGGACAAAATTAAGTTCAGATAGGTTCAGAGTATTTAGGTTCAGCTCTTGGCTTTCTGAATACCTGACATATCCTCTTTAAATGGCCTCAAAACAGGAAAATACAAAATGAATAGAAGTAGACATTAGAAATGGGAAAAATGGAGAAATACAGGAAAGAACAGAAGTTTCTATTTCAGATAATTAGATAAATTTTAAGATGTTTATAGTTAACTTTTGTTAATTAGGTTTAGCCCCTTGAACCTTTGAGAACATGTTATTACTATTGTTATTGAACATTATATTTTTTATTTTAACGTAGAATGGTATTTTCACTCAAATCTCTTGAAATAGATATTTATAGTTAATAGTTAAAATGTATTTAATACTGATTGTTTCATTTTATATTTTCTCTTAAAAATAATTTTGGCCGGGTACGGTGGTTCACGTCTGTAATCCCAGCACTTTGGGAGGCCAAGGCGGGTGGATCACCTGAGGTCGGGAGTTTGAGACCAGCCTGACCGACATGGAGAAACCCCATCTCTACTAAAAATGCAAAAATTAGCTGGGCATGGTGGTGCATGTCTGTAATCCCAGCTACATAAAATTAAAAATAAAATTATTATTTTAATTTTATTTCAATATATTTGTTCCATACCTTCATAATGGGTTACCTCAAATGAATTTATTATATACCTGGAGCTCAAATCTAACTTTACTTATAAAATATGATTATAATTCAGCCTTATTGATTTGAAAAGATTATAAAAGAAAATCAGAGGAAAAAAATCCTATACCTTCTATAAATACAATACTTTCCCGAGGTCATGTGCATACATCATGCCTAATGTCAATCATTGATATCCCCAGTCCAAGAACCGTACGCCATATGGAACATGTGGGCTCTATTCTGTGGCTCCAGAGTAACATGAGACTTCTGTTTTATTTCATTTTTTCCAAATGCCTTTAAAATCATAAAGAAATACTTAATAAATTATAAAGAAATAACATTTTATACATTTTATACCTCATGAAATGAGATGGATTTTGTTAGTTTACACACTGAAATTTTTATAATTTTATGTTAGATAAATATTGTTCATACTTATTCTCTTCCTTGGTTTGGAGTTAATTTTATGTTTTACCTGAAAGGACAAAGACTTGACCATATGGATTGTTTTAGCTAATGAAATGTGAAGGAAAATTATGTGTGCCCCTTTGGGCATACAAACTTTAAGAGCTGAAATTTCTAATCCTTTCAGCTTGTGTCCCAGATAAAAGAATATATGGAGCAAATTAACATATATATTAATACAGAGATATATTACATATCACTTACACTACAATAGAAGGTTTTTACTTATGAGTAGCTTAATAAGGGATCAAACATAGGAATTGAAGCTCTCCAATCTGCTATTGGAGTGTATCTTCATAAACCTATCTAAGAATATACATATTTGATTTAGAAGTATGAAAATGCTGACATGTTATTGGAATACAAACTCCATTAGGTTGGAATTTTTTTTTTTTTTTTTTGGTTGGAATTTGATTGCTGTGCACTCTGCAGTGTCTCAACTCTTTCTAAATATGTAGCCCAATTGAATCTTTATTAAGTCACTGAGATTTTGGATTATTTTTGCTAGCTAAACCTAAACTATTGTGAATTACGCTCCTGTTTATGTGCTCTGTCTTCTCAAATTTTCTCATGAGTTCAGCTTTTTTCTATTTCTTACTTAACTAATTTATCAATGTATATTAACTCTGAGATGTGCCCAGTCTCAATGACCCTAAGAAAAAAACCTCTGCTGTTAAGGCTAAAGGAACTAATGGCGAGGGCACCCTGAGTCTCCAATGAAAAGCAGAAATATGCGCCTCTGAGTCATAATAGTCACTAACTGATGATTTTATGTCAGCTCTCTAAATCTGATTCTCACATTTTGATAATTTATGTTTTACATTTAGAAAGGATTGTAAGTAGCTACCAAGTAAAAGATGTTAAAATATTCTGCATTATATACAGTAGTTTTAAAAATCCTCATACAGCCATATGAATTAGGTATACTGCATCTATTAAATGACCTCAGAAAAAAAAAAAAGAAGAAAATTTAACTGAAACAAGTTCATGATGGACAAAATAGTAACTCCTTAGTGAAAGCTAGTGCCTGCCCAGGCCCCTCTAGGGATTGATGTTCCTCCTCACCCCTCTGGCTTCTCTCCTCCATAGGCCTCCATATTCCATAAAATCTCTCAACTCTTACCTGCCCCACAGGCTCTCCAGGCTGAACCAACCACTTCCCTCCCAGGCTTCCATCTCCAGCTGGGAGGAGCCAGGTGGGGCCTGTTTATGGGGGAGGCTTGCCTCATTGTACTCCTGCCAGTACCTGCACCAGCTGTGCCATGTGGAGACCCCCTTCCCACAGAGCCAGACGTCCTTTCAAGACCCCTTGGCCAGAGCCTATGGCTTCCTATCGCTTTAGTTGGGGCACAGCTCTTGTTGGTGTATGAGACACTGACCTACACTCTAGGTCTTCCATCTCAGAGTTGAACCCAGGCTCTTCTCAGGGGCTGGTATAACCAGGCGTGAGTCTCCAACTCGTTTGAAATATTTTGGGTGGGAAGGGGGGTCTTTGTTGGCTCCCCTATTCTAGGGCAGTGGTAGGGAAGACCTGAGGGTCTCCTGGTGGGCGTAGGCCCTGAAGCAGTGAGCTGCTGGATCTCCCGGGGGTGGCTGCTGCCTCTCAGGACACTGTGCCCTGCTATGGCAGATGCCCCTGAGATGCCAGTGACAAAAGGCTGGCCCCTCCTGGGTCCTCTGTTCCTGTCCTCTCACTCAGCCCCTGACATGGCTTCACCCACAGCCTCCTGCTGGCTTCTCAGGCCCCTGGCCAGGCAGCTTTGGGGGGTGATGGGTAATTTGCAAGTTCTCTTTTCAAACCCACCCAGTTGCTCTGCAAAATCCTTCCTGATCCCTGAGGCCAACCAGCATGGGAGGGGTGTGGCCGGTCTACCCTCAGTGCCCTTTCCTGTCGTGCAGGGCCCCACGGTGTCATCAGCAAGGGTCTGATCTGCTCACTGCTGTGGAAGCTGCAGAGGGAGGAGCAGCTCCAGGAGCTCATCCAGGACCCGCTGGCCCCTGCCTGCAGGAGGATGCAGGAGAGGGTCTGGCACCTCCTCCCCATGAGGAAGGTGAGAACAGGAAAAGCACTGGTGATGATCCTGACACCCAGCGGTCACTGAGCCTCCTGTGTGCCAGGCATTGTCTCCAAACCTCACATTTAGAAAACCCTCCAGCAAGGTGATGTCTGCCTTCACAGCTGAGGAAATGGAGGCGCAGTGTCTTGTCTCATCCCAGGTCACACAGGATCACAGTCAACATCGTGGCCTCAAACCTGTGGGAACACAAAGACTCAGAGCTTGTGGTGGTTGGGGGGTGTTCCCACACTGGGCCCCTCATTGTGAGGATGGGCCGGTCACCGACCCCCAGCGTCCCTGCCTTGGTTGTGGTCACATCTCCTTGCTGGGGGGGCCCTCTTGCCTTCCCTAAGTCCTGGCTTCTCTTTCTTCTGAGAGTCTCTTTAGATGCCTGGGTGAGTATTTCTCCAAGTGTGGTCCCTGAACCAGACCCCGGGTGGTCTGTGGAAATGCATGTTCCCAGGCCCTGTCCCAGCCTCATCATTCTTAGGTTTGGACAGAGGTCCCTTTCCTTGGGACCAGGAGAGTGGCTTTCCAGGAGAGAGCTTTCTCTCTGAAACTGTGGCCTCCCCAGCCTCCCTGCATCCTCCTGTGTCCACTGTGACCACCATCCTTGCCATCACTTTCTGTGTCATCCCAAAGGAGAGCTCCTAAGGACAAGGCTTTGCTCTGTTTGCTGCTCCAGACCCAAAGGTCATAGCAGGGGTTTTGGTCCCAAGTTCAGAATTACCCAGTCCAAAAGAGTGCTGAGATGGGAAACCCAACTCTTGCCTCAGCATCTCACTGCGTGAATGAATCAGGGAATCCCTGTAGCAGGGGGACAGGGTGGCACCTCCCCTGAGACTGCAGGCATGAGGTTCAAAAGAGGGCTGGGGTGAGAGGGGGTGAGAAGAGGCCCCCACAGGCTGTTAGAAATTCCCTGTGTTGGTGGCCTGCTGAGAAGTATGTGGCCCTGGACGCACAAGTCAACAGTCTGCTCCTGAAGCTGCTACACTCACCCATGGGCAGGGTGTACCTGAAGGCCACCAAGGCCCTCACCATGCTGCCAGAGGCCCCTGAGGGCTGCAAGGTTGTGCAGGCCCACGTGCATACCCTCCGTGTCCCAGAGGAGGACAATGACAACAAAGCTTATGAGTGCAAGGCCTTACAGCAGGTGACCCAGATCGCCATCAATGTCATTGAGTGGAAACCCTGAGCCCCTCATTGGGTCAGACCTGATCAGCCACCTCTGCACCTGAATCAATGCGCTCAGTCTCTTTATTTCAAGTTGGAATAGCACTTTCTGTTTCTGGAGCACAGTCATGTCTCTTCTCACTCTTTTGCCAAAGCCTAAATGCCAGGCCCAGAGGCACTGGGTCCTGGATGGTACAGGCTGAACGCAGTGCTGGGGTGGGTGGGAGATGGCCTTGGAGTTTCACTCTCTGCTGGGGCCAAGAGTTTTCCTCAGAATGTAGAGAAGACTGAGACCTCCATGGGCAAAGCTGGGGGCAGGAACTTGGGAAGGAAGGAACGCAGCTGCACCAGGCACCACCCAGGTTTCAGAAACTCCAGTGATTGATCCATGGGGTGTGGCTGGGTGTGGTTCTGCTCAGCCAGGTCTGCCCCCTCCCCACCCTGGCTGGCAGGAAGGGAGGCAAAAGGTGAGACCCGATGCAGGTTCTTATGACTGAGGATGACTCTGTCCCAAGAGGCTCCCCCAAGGATGACAGCTCAGGACAGGGAGAGGTTCTGGTTTCCTCCTTAAGATCTTCCCAGCAAAGAGCTGCATTCTCTAAAGTCACCCAAGCATGCCCCCAGGATGGTCTGAAGCCTAGCCACCTCCAAGACACGTTCCTGGTGCTGTCCAGGAGGGGAGCCTAGGAATCGCTTCTCTATGCCAAGTCATGGAAAACGCCTGACTGCGGAGCTTGAGCCTCCCTCAGATGTCCCTGTAGTACGTGCTGGTCTGCCCTGTTAATTCAGCTCCCTGGTCAGCTCCTGGGAGGGCTTCACCCTGGGTGAAGAAGACAATTCCTTTTCAGTGAGAGCAGGCTCCCAGTTTTGTACACCATGACATCATCCCACTGAGCAGCCTCCACACCAGCATCTCCTGGGCTCCTGCTTCTGCAGTCCAGGCTGAGGAGATATTAGAGATGTGGGAACTCATCAGCCAGGGATGGAGGTGCCTCTGCTACAAGGGGAGGGCCAGGAACACAGCCTATGTTGAGACCTAGAAGTCCTGAGCACCACACCCTTGCCTCCATTCTCCAAGGCCCATTTACCACACCGTTATCAGTTTCTGGGATTTAAGAAGCTGCTGCCAGAAGAGGTATGAGAGCCAGCCTGGAAGAGGCAACTGGTCATTCAACTGTAGCCCAAAGGCACAAACTGCCACCCCAGAGAGCTGAGGCTGGACAAGGGTAGTGGGACAGCCAGTGGCTATAAGCCCACACTATGAAGGGAGCCTGCTGTGTTGAGACCCCAGTTCTATCTATGGAAGAACTGTTTATCTACGGAACCTGGGGCAAGTTCATTAACTGCTCAGTGCCTCAGTTTTTCTAGCTCTAAAGTGGGGATAGTAATTGTGCCTATCATAAATGCCAAAATATCATTTTGGCAGTGCCAGGTGCATCATGCTGAAAATAAGCGCCTTGTACATTGTGGGTGCCCAAGAACACTGTTTACAACCCTCAGAGGAGACAGATCAGCAGGCATCTGAGGGAGCCTGGAACCCTGCATCCTGCAGGTGCCTGGGGTCCTATACCCAGGAGAAGCTGCTCCCTCACTCCACAGCAGTCTACACAGCACCCCCTCCTGACCAGGGGTACACTGGTTTGGGCAAGCGTTAGGAGGGAGCCCTGGACCTCTCTGGACTCTGACCTTCCCTGGAAGGACTGTAGAGGGTCAGAACACTGCTTCTCCCAGCCAGACCCTTCCCTCCCTTTCCAAACCCACGGCCTCCTCACCGCTCTCTGCCTCAGACTCAGGACTCATCTCATTACGTCCTTCATCCCTGTTTGCACCAAGGGCTGCAAGAAGCTCAGCTCACCTCCCCTTCATGGCCCTGAACACTCCTTTTCTGACTCCGTCTGCTGAAATCTTTTTTCCAAGCCCTCTGGAGGCCCCAGGGCCTCAGCATCTCCCAGGAACATTCTTTCCTTTCTTGCCTGGACTGAAACCTAGCTCTTCTGAGACCTGCTTCCCTACCCTAGGCATCCTCCTATGTGGGGCTGCTTTCCTCTCTCCCTGCCCCTCATACCCTCATTGGAGTGGGACAGGTCCTTACAGACCATCTCCTGTGCCTGTTCTGAGGAGCCCTCTGGTTCTGAATCTCTGCACAGGTTCTATGGCTCTGGCCTTCTCCCCTCCCCAGCACCACACCACCAGATTGCTCTTGTAGGGCACTACGTGGTCTCCATGTGGCTGAGCCCAACCGCCAGTCCTCAGGCCTCATCTTTCTCTGGCCATGAGCATTTCCCCAGTGGAGCCTCACCACCTCCCCTCCCTGAAACACTTCTAGGAAATTAGGCCACTTCTCTGTCATTATGGTTGTTCAAAATAGCACATTTGCTATTGTGCTCTTTAAGAAACTGATACACATCATGGTGTGTTTAAGCCTTTAGGGAAGTGGGAGGATACTGGAGGCTGCTCTGTGAGCATCTCTATGCTATACCAAGTCAGATCAGTGAGGGAAACTGGACCGCTTAGCTGCAGGGCTACCTTCCACTCCAGGATGCTTTTCACATCTTTCACGATCCCCTCCCTGGAGACCTTTCATGGCCCGGACTCATCTTAGGCCTCTCTGTTCTCTCCATGTGCTAGTGGGGTGCCTACCGATCAGATAATGAGTGGTGCTGTCACTGAACTGACTGCCCATGGGGAGCTACTCACATATGCTGTTAAAGGAGCATGAATTGGTGTCATCATTTAGGAAAAAGTTTGGCATGATTTATGATGATGAAAGATATGCCCCCTTCTAACAGTCTACTCCACAGAAGTGAGTGCTGGTGTTATTCCAAAACCATTGACAAAAATACTCAAAGCAACATTACTTGAGATAGACACAATTATATTAAAAATAACCCTGGCCAGGCATGGTTGCTCATGTCTATGAGCGGTGCATTCCAGGCTCCACCACAGACTCTGCATCCACAGGCAACTGTGGTCCTGGCTGCTCTCTGCCATCAAGATTCCCTTCCATTTTTACATATTGCCTAAAGAACTTCATACAAATTTCTATTTAAAACCAGTTTATTGCACAGTCCCGCATAGAACACATCAACTATTTTAATTTTTTTCTTCTTTCCTATCACTGTCTAAAAGTACTTTTTTTTTTTTTTTTTTTTTTTTTAACACAGTAAGACCCAGTGTGGTTGACTGTATCTAATCTTTTACTATTAGATGGGCAATTTTTTTTTTTTTTTTTTTTGAGATGGAGTCTTGCTCTGGGTGATTCTCTTTGATTCTCTTTGTTCTCAATCCTTGAGAACAACCACATGCTCTATGAAGGCATAATCCCTCAATTGCACTGGTGTAACATGTCAGTAACTTTTCACTCCCTGAGCCAAGAGCTTCTGCATTCAAGTTTCAGCAAGACCAATTTCTGACCCATGGAGCAATGGGTAACACCATCCTCACTAAGCTCACATACCCAGCTGTGGAAACACATTTCATTTTATGGTAAGTCTACTTTGCCACCACAGGCTACTAGCATGTTAGTTTATAGACTAGCCTTTGGTGTTAAAGAGATCCAGCTCTTCGTGTGTCTCATGAGTAATTTACATAGCTGAGACTCACATTCCTCATCTGTATAATGACTATAGCAAAACTAAATCTGTCTCAAAGTAATTGTGACACTTCAAGGAGGCAACATAGAGAAGTGCCCATAGAGTATCTGATACTCAATTTATATCTGTTATTATTTTCATTCTTATAACTTAAGCACCTGGTTATTAACTACAGTCATATGGGGCAGAATGACATTTTGCTCAGTGACAGACCACATGTATGACAGTGCTCCCATAAGATTATAACAAAGCAGAAAATTTCCCTTTGCCTAGTGAAGTCGTAACTGTTGGAATGTCAGCACAATGCATTACTTAGGTGTCTGTGGTGAGGCGGGTGTAAACAAACCTACTGCACTTCAGCGTTAGAGTAAAACAACATTTCTTTTTGGTAACAATGTTAAGTAATATGTTATGCAAATGAAAGACTAACCACAGTGATGGAATTTTTAGAAAGAGATAAAACTAAGAGTCCACGAGGATTTGGAGAAACGGCTACTCACATATGCTGTTAGAGGAGCATGAATTGATGTCATCATTTAGGAAAAAGTTTGGCATGATTTATAATGATGAAAGATATGCCCCCTTCTAACAGTCTACTCCACAGAAGTGAGTGCTGGTGTTATTCCAAAACCATTGACAAAAATACTCAAAGCAACATTACTTGAGATAGACACAATTATATTAAAAATAACCCTGGCCAGGCATGGTTGCTCACGTCTATAATCTGATCACTTTGGGAGGCTGAGGCAGTCAGATCACCTGAGGTCAGGAGTTTGTGACCAGCCTGGCCAACATGGTGAAACCCTGTCTCTGTCAAAAATGCAAAAACTTAGCCAAGTGTGTTGACAGGTGCCTGTACTCCCAGCTACTCGGGAGGTCAAGGCAGGAGAATGGCATGAACCTGGGATGCAGAGCTTGCAGTGAGCCAATATCCTGCCACTGCACTCAAGCCTGGGTAACAGAGCAAGACTCCAACCCAAAAAAAAGAAAACAAAGAAAGAAAAAGAAAAAGTCTAGAACTCAAGTGATGAATATCAACTTAGAAAATAAAACCAAAGCCAAATTTTTGAAAACAGGAAATAGTGTGATACTATCTTTTGTGGGAAGAAATTCTTGGCTTCCTCCAAAATTAGAGAACTGGGGAGAAAGAAGCCTCATCTCAGAATCTGTGACTGGATTGGGAAGTGGAGGCTAGAAGTGTGCTCAAGGTCAAATTTTCCTCCTCCCTTCAAAGGAAACTGGAGTTTTACCAGTGAGCCCAGAGTGAATATTCACTCCGCCATCCACCCCGGGAGATCCCTTTAAACCAGGAGTGCACAGTGAGGACAGAAACATGAATGTGCACTAACAAGTCCTGAAAGTTCAGAGGGTGATTCTCGATTTCTCCTTGGCACACAGCAGAAGAACTGTGTCTCTAGGTTCCACACAGATGACACGCAGTGCTTAAGCCTACACCCCTTGTGACTGATCCCAAGGAGTGTTGATTAATCTAAACCAAAGGCTCTGATGTTCCACAGGAAGAAAAGAGCAAGTGGACTGCAAAGAGAATCTCTCATGAATGCAGCACCCTCATAGCCCATACAGACAGTTCTTACCATGATGCCAAGAAACTGAAAACAACAAGCCAGACCTCACACATATTTCCATTTTCCTTCTGATTTCAAACGCTCTCCTTCAGCCCCTCCTCAAAATCAGCAGGGATAACCTGGAGGCTCCTGGGACTGGATGAGTCTCCTTGTCACTTATACTCTCCAGCGTCAAGTCTTTAGAAACAAAACCAGCAGGATAAGTCATCAGAGTGACTCACCCACTCCTCCTACTTTAGCTGAAGCTGAATGATGGGTTAGTCTCCCAACCCACACTGTTTCATACATGATCCCCAAATCTTTCTTCTGGGTTGACAAACCTTCCTACAGCTTCTCGGGCCAGAGTTCTATACTGGCAAAATCACTTTCAGGAAAACCCCAAGCCTCTTTCCCAGCAGGAACCCAGAATCAGGTTTCTCTACAATGAAGCTAACAAGTTTTCTCCTCAGGAAGTGAGTTATTTCATGGTACATATCGCTTTCTTTCCAAGCTCTTATCTGCAATTATATAAAAGAAAACATGAGAATCAGATTCTGCTGTGCGCTTCACACAGATCTGTTATTCTCTGGACAATGATAAAAAACCAGAAGGCAGTACAGTGATTGAGTCATAGGTCAAAATCCCCAAAGACTAGCACAGAGGATAGCTATAGAAAAACAAGACCTCTATTCACAGAATTTACCTTTAAATTTAATTTGATATGCAAATGCACAATGCTTCATCCAAGGAGGAAAACTGGTATTGTGGAAAATGCTTCAGTATTCCAGTTGATAATGGATGCTGTCATTTAGAAGCAGCATAGCATACCAAGTATCAGTTGGGAAGACACTCCTACTGAATTCCAGCCCCACAAAGACAATAGTGTACAGTGTACATAATGTGCATTTCCAGGTTTTCAAATCAAAATTAATTGAGAAGAATTAGGAAAGCAAGATTGCTGTGGAAGCCAAAAATGTGGGTCTTACCTGGACATCACCATCATCATCATCATCACCATCTTCATCATCATCTTCATCTTTGCATTGTGGTGAACATCTTAAAAACAGGCCATCCTCAGGAAGAGCTGGAAGGACACAGAGGAAAGATCAGTGCACCGGAGGTTGGTGACTGTGAGTCACTCAGGGAGCTTTGCTGGATGTGATGTATGGAGGTGGTTGATTAACAAGCATGGACTGAGTTGATGCTGGGCTATTCCCCTGAGGGGAAGAGGGATGGCAGAGGATGGGAGCAGGAAAGACATGAGACATGGAGGTCTTGGACTTGTACTAGAGGCATCAGGCAGCAACACAAAGCAGTCAACCAAAAATGGAAATAAATGCACACTGAGGGTCAATGGAAGAGTGCCTTCCTGCCTCTCAAATGTTTTGAAAGTCTACAAAACAAACAGCATTTTCTTAATGTATTCAAGACCATGTCAGTACACTAGGATCTAATTATGCTGATGCCACATTTAGCATCTATTTTAAAGGATTTATTACTTGATTAAAAGCCTATTTTATGGGTGAAATGGACTCAATTTTACCCAAATTACTCTATTCTATTAATCACAATTCTTTCTCATAGAGATCATTTAAAAATTCAATATTAAAATGCTATAATTAAAAATAGTGATGATTTCCCATTTGTAAGTCATCTTCTGAAATGACTTCTACACACCCTTTTGGGGCCCTGTGATCAGGGGCTTCAGCAGCTCCTGTGTGACTCTCCCTGGGGAGATTCCCTAAAAATCAAGCTTCATTCAAACAGGCCAAGCTCACACAGCCTGCTCTACCTACACCAGTGAAGCTGAGAGACGTGACTTTGAACACTTTCTACCATGAAAAAATGTTCACGAGTATGGGGGTGATTTTTGGTTAACTAGTTTACATAAAAATTATTTTTTGGCTGAGCACTCTGGCTAACACCTGTAATCCCAGCACTTTGGGAGGCTGTGGCCCTCTGTGGCTCCCACATCCAACTTTCCAGGCTCTACGGTAGTGGATTCTGATGTTGCAGCAGCCACAGCCTCATAAATATCAGATTCATAACAGGGTGCCACCTTCCCCCTGCACCAGCTACAGGTGGAGTCGATACAACAGGTCAGTACACACCCCATGGGGCACCCACACTCCTCTCCACTCCTGCCTGAGACTTCGATGAAACTGAAATGGTGCTGTCCCAGCAGCCACACTACTGAGGCTGGCACAACACTTGTAGAAGCAGCCTGACCCCAGGCAGATCTGGGGCCTCAGCCCTTACTCTGCCGCCACCTCCCAAACTGGCTGGTCTATGAGGTCGGGGACCTGCTGTCTTCATTGAAAAATAAATGAACACGACAAGTGCCAAGAGGCACAAAAACTGCTGTGAGACAGCAGAGTTGGAGCTCCTCCTCCTTCCACTACCAGCTACCGACTGAGGGTTGCTGGCCCTGGCTGATGCTTATAACCACAAAGCTTCCTATGTCACCTGCTTACCAGGAAACAGCCAGGTCAGGCTAGTGACACAATGTCCAGCCCCACAGCCCCATGCAATACCTCACAATGCCCATCCCTGCTGTTGCCCACCTTGTGGCCACCCTGCCCCTCTGTGATGACTGCACTACTCAGGCTTTTATTCACCCTGGGCTGCCTGAGCTTTCCAGTCCTGAGGAAAGTGCGGGGGAGTTATTACTGGAAGTCACCCTCAGCAAGAAACTCAATAGAAAACCCTGGTACACCCGGGAGTAGTGGCTCATGACTGTAATCCTAGCACTTTGGGAGTCTGAGGGGGTGGATCACCTGAGGTCAGGAATTCGAGACCAGCCTGTCCAACATGGTGAAACCCTGTCTCTACTAAAAATACAAAACACTAGCTTAGTGTGGTGGTGGGCACCTGTAATCCCAGCTACTCGGGAGGCTGAGGCAGGAGAAGTGCTTGAATCCAGGAGGCAGAGGTTGCGCAGTGAGCAAAGATCACACCATTGCACTCCAGCCTGGCTGACAAAGGTGAAAGTCTCAAGAAAAAAAAAAAAAAACCCATTTACTAAGTCAGTTCCAGGAGCATTTCTGTTTTTCGGAGTCTGACAGCTTTCATTTGCTCACCAAATGTAGTTATACACAAGTTTTTGACTACTTTTGTAACTAAATGCTTCTCTCCTGTCTTATAAGTGTTAGTTCTTATCTGCAACTCCACCATAGCTACCCCCAGGGCACTGGTCCCACTCTCAATAGAGAGTCATGGCTGTGTATCCTGAATGAAAGCCTGGGACACATCACACTTTCCCCTCCTGGTCTATAAAATAGGGACTGAACACATCCTTCCCAGCTCTGTAATGCTATGACTTACCAACTCCCTTTTCTCCCTCTGTTTTTTCTTTCCATGGCAGGGGTACTCAGATGTTTCTTTTATTTACTTATTTATTTTTTGAGACGGAGTGTTGCTCTGTTGACCAGGCTGAAGTGCAGTGGCATGATCTCGGCTCACTGCAACCTCCACCTCCGAGGTTCAAGCGATTCTTCAGCCTCAGCTTCCTGAGCAGCTGGGACTACAGGCACGTGCCACTGCATCTGGCTAATTTTTGTATTTTTAGTAGAGATGAGGGTTGCACTATGTTGGTCAGGCTGGTCTTGATCTCCTGACCTCAGGTGATCCACCCGACTCGGCCTCCCAAAGTGCTGCTATGACAGGCATGAGCCATCACGCCCAGCCTCAGACATTTCTTTCACTAACAAATCATAAAGCATTATCTTCTTATACAAAATTAAGAACCCCATAGTGGGGTACCATTGTCCTCATAGGATAAAGATGAATAGTCAACATCTGGCAAGCATTATGTGCCTGACAGTGTTCCAAGAGTGGCATACTCATTTAACCCTCAGAAACAGTCCCATTGTACACAGTTTACAGCATAAATCTGGATGGGAAAGTCAAGTAACTTCCCCAAGGTCCCACAACCGCTCAGTGAGTTCAGGCAGGTGAGCAAACAAAGGCTTAGAGTTGTCTGAGGCTACACTGCTGGACAGTGGATGAACCTGGAATACCAAGGCTCATTCACTGTCCAGCAGTAGAGTTTAAGTAGAGTTTAAATTTTATCCTGGAAACATGAGAGACAATGAACCACACAAAGGTGAGAAGTTCCTATCAGATGTGTTTGCTGTGAGGTCTCTGCGCAATAGAGGACTGACGGAAGCAATGGGACCAATTAAGACACATTACGTTGGGAGGCCGAGGTAGGTGGATCATTTGAGGTCATGAGTTCCAGACCAGCCTGGCTAACATGGTGAAACCCCATCTCTACTAAAAATATGAAAATTAGCCTGGCATGGTGGCGGGCACCTGTAGGCCCATCTACTCAAGAGCCTGAGGCAGGAGAATTGTTTGAACCCAGGAGTTACAGGTTGCAGTGAGCCAAGATCATGCCATTGAACTCCAGCCTGGATGACAGAGATTCTGTCTCAAAAAAAAAAAAAGAAAGAGAGAGACATTATGTTCATCTGGAAGAACAGGTAAGGCTAAAAGTAGTGGAAATGACTGCAATGGATGGAAAAGTCTTGTGGGGAGACAGAACAGGAGGTGCTAGATGATTAGATGTGGAAAAACAGGACAAGTAAAAGGAAAAACAGGCTGCTGAGGCTCTAGTTTGAAGGACTGGGTAAATAGCAATGCCTTTCTCCTACACAGAGAATGTAGCAAGAGGAGTAGGTATGGGGAATAAGATAGTTTTCAGCTGGGCACAATGACTCACGCCTGTAATCCCAGCACTTTGGGAGGTCAAGCTGGGTGGATTATGAGGTCAGGAGTTCGAGACCAGCCTGGCCGACATGGTGAAACTCCAGCTCTACTAAAATTACAAAAATTAGCTGGGTGCGATGGTGGGTGCCTGTAGTACCAGCTACTCGGGAGGCTGAGGCAGGAGAATCACTTGGACCCAGGTGGCGGAGTTTGCACTGAGCCGAGATCATGCCACTGCACAATAGCCTGAGTGACAGAGCGACACTCCGTCTCAAAAAAAGAAAGATAGTTTTGGACTCAAGTATTGCATTGAAATGGAGCTCTCTGCTAGAAAGTTAGGTAGAAACCTCTGTAGGCTAACTCCACTCTGTGATATCACAACTCATGTTTTAAAAAATACAAACATGAAATCAAACCATTACAGAAATTTCCTAAAATTTACATATTAATATATGACAACTTTTTATTTATTACTTTCTTAGAGTAACTTTGAATTTACAATCATAGTGAATGAGGTGTCCTGTAAAATAAAGCTGTTATATAAAGATGACATTTAAATTGTATAGTCATCAGAGCATATAAAAAACAATTGAAGCCATGGGTATGGCAGGGATTGCTTTAAAAAGCTGTGTCTAATGAGGGGAGTTGGAAAGAAAGGAGACTCGGGGGCCGGGTGCGGTGGCTCACACCTGTAATCCCAACACTTTGGGAGGCCTACGCAGGCGGATCACCTGAGGTCAGGAGGAGTTCAAGACCAGCCTTGCCAACATGGCAAAACCCCATCTCTACTAAAAATACAAAAATTAGCTGGGCGTGGTGGTGGGCACCTATAATCCCAGCTATTCAGGAGGCTGAGGAAGAAGAATTGCTTGAACCCAGGAGATGGACTTTGTGGTGAGTCAAAGTGGTGCCACTGCACTCCAGCATGGGTGACAGCAAGACTCTATCTAAAAAACAAAATAGAAAAGAAAGAAGACTTGGGGAATAGGGAGGTTTAAGTGGCGTTAAGTAAAGCCTGCAAATGTGAGCAGTGAGAGTCAGGGTACCTGAGTGTTCATCAGAAACGCTGATCAGGTAAGTCTCATCACAATGGAGCTGGTGTCTGCTTCTCATTTCTGTAACTGCTGTACCTAACACAGTACCTGGTCAACAGGGACTCAATACCTAATACCCCAATGAACACAGTAAAATTCTGCCAGTTCAAAACTATGTCCATACCCACCAACTTCCCTTGTGGAGTTTTACTTTTCACTTCCTGTAACGTTTTGAAGTTCATCCCTCCTGCGGTCTGTATCCATAGTTTCTTTTCTTTGTATAACTGAGCAGCGCTCCACTTTATGCACAGACCACATGGGTCTATCCATTCTCTAGCTGACGGACACTTGGGTTGTTTTCAGTTGTTGCCTGTAGTGAATGAGGTTGCTGAGAACGTTTATGTATATGTCTTTTTGAACACATGCTTTCATTTCTTCTAAATAAATTCCTAGGGCTGGAATTGCTAAGTCAAATAGCTAGTTTATGCTTAACTTCTTTTTTTGCCTTTCTTATTCATAGAAAATATTACACTGATACATAATATTGGACATTTCTGTGAGGCACATGTGCTGCTTGGTTCCGTGCATCCAACATGTCATCATCAAGTCAGTGTATCTGGGGTATGGCCTGGAGTATTTATCATTTCTATGTGTTGAGTATATTTGAAGTTCTCTCTTATAGCTATTTTGAAATATACAATACATTATTGCTATCCATAGTCACCCTACTCTGCTATCCAACATTAGAGCACACTCCTTGCATCTAACTGTTAGTGTATTCATTGACCAACCTCTCTGCATTCCCTTCTTATACCCGGAGGAGAGAGGAAGGAGGGAAAGGAGCTGTGGGTGGCTGAATTAGGGCCCAGGAGACCTGTCCATGTGCTGTGTTGTGTGGCCACAGGGACTTTACAGATGTGAGGATGTGAAGGAGCCTGAGGTGGAAGATGATCCTGGGTTATCTGGGTGGGTCCAAGGTGGGGTCTTTATAAGGGAAAGAAGGAGGCAGGAGGGTCAGAGTGAGAGCAGGTGTGGGGGTGGAGGGAAAGAAAGGGAGAGAAAGAGGGAGGGTGAGAGAAGACGGTGGGGGGAGGGAGAGAGAAGAGTGGGAGAGAGACTTGAAGATGCTGAGCTCTGGCTTTGAAGTTGGAGGAAGGGGCCAGGAGCCCAGGGTGTCCTCTAGAAGCTGGAAAAATCCTGGAAATGGATTCTCCCCAGAGCCCTCAGAAGGAGCCTGGCCTGGCTGGCACCCTGATTTTAGACTCTAGGGTTCATTTTGGATGTCTGACTCCACACCAGGGAGAGAATCAACATGTGATGTTTTAAGCCTCTAAATTAGCAGTCATTTGTGACAGCAGCCACAGGAAAGTCAAACAGGAGCCATCGGAGAGACTCCCTAGGATGCCCCGAGTGTCCCTCACTGGCCCCACCCACAGAAACACAGGCCTGACCACTGCTGGTGTCCCCACCCCTCTAACACCCTGCTCAGCAGGAACCATGCAAGAGGGGCTGGGTGTGGCTGGGCCATGTTCTCTCCTCCCACACCTTCTCAGAGAGCAGCTGGAGCCCCAGACCCAGGGAGCCTCCCAGAGAAATTCCCAACACAGGACCTGGTTTTCCATCTAAGGCTCAGGATCCAATGGAGAAGTGTTTCCCAAAAATGATGCTTCCTCCCAAGATGACCAGTGACTTTCTGCGCCAAACATCTGAGAAAATCTCCATGTCCTAGGGCTGCCAGGCAGTCATCTGTGCACATGTCAGAGCCCAAATCCCATCAGTAGTGAGGCCTTGGGTAAAACACATCCCCACTTTTAATTATGATGAGATGCCTGTCCTCAGCATTGAAAACACCAATTTGGCCGGGCGCGGTGGCTCAAGCCTGTAATCCCAGCACTTTGGGAGGCCGAGGTGGGTGGATCACAAGGTCAGGAGATCGAGACCATCCTGGCTAACACGGTGAAACCCTGTCTCTACTAAAAATACAAAAAAACTAGCCAGGCGTGGTGGCGGGCGCCTGTAGTCCCAGCTACTCGGAG